GGTGACAGCCATCCAAGAAGCTAAATACTTCAACATAATAAGTCTTGAAATCCTGATAAGCAATCTCCAAAGTCATTAGATAGAACTTATAGGAGATGAACCTGCAAAGAAGCTAAAGTCTCTTGCTTTGAGATATATTGTTTGAGATATATTGTTTAACCTGCTAAATCTTCTCAAATTTGGGAATCTAGAGAAGCTCCTTCTGCAAGAGGTTCTGAAGAAGGCTCAGATGATGAAGAAATGAAATTCTTTATCAAGAGATTCTAGTATCTAGATAAGAAGAATAAAAGATCCTTAGGGAGAAGTAGTGGCTTCAGATGATCTAGTTCTAGAGACAAGAAAGATGAACAAAAAGGATGCTTCAACTACAAGAAGCCTGGTCACTTCATCATTGAATGTCCAGACTTGTAGAAGGAAAAGTCAAATAAAGGAAGTTATTAGAAGGATGACTTAATAAACAAAGTCAAGAAGAGTATCATGGAAATACAAGATAAACATGACAAAGAAGGAGAATCTGATAAAGATGAAGAAGAACTCAATCTGGCTTTAATGGCTCTAATATCTTTTGGCGCATAATCTGATTCAGTTTTTCTGGTTTAGATTTTGAAGAAGACGATGAGGTATTTTCTATACTCTCTTGTTCTAGTTTAATTACTTTAATTCAAAATCTTATGGGTCATTGTCAAGAGAAAGTGAGACACGTGAAATTTTTGAAAAAACATTTTTATTTAAAAACAAATGAATTAAAATATCTTCAAATTAAATATGATGATTTAGAAAGAAGTCAAATTGTTCAAGTGTATGATAAACCTCCAGATTAGCATGAAATTTCTCTTCAAGAGTTTATCATAAGTGGATTTAGCATGACAAAACTTGCTTCCATAATTTATGGTGATTGCAAGAGCAGAGGAAAACACATTAGTTATTCACAAAACTAATAATCCAAGGATGAGAACCTTGAATAAACCAATGGAACCTTTTTACTCTAGTTCTATTGAGAAAGGGCTATATTCTCATTTTGTATCTTGTGCTGACAAAGCAAAAGTTTTGAACAAGTCAGAACCAAAGACTGTTGTGTTCAAGGTTCTGAACAATTCAGAACCTAGTACTTCAAAGTTAAACTTTGTAAAGAAAGCATAACCAAACACTCTAAAGTCAAAAAATTTGAACAAACTAGAACTTGAGGCAATATAGTTTGACAAGTTTGGATAAAAAATTATGTTAGTTTTGGTTTTGTTTCATGATTTCAAGCAGAAGTTATGCAGGGTTGATTGGGTTCATAATTTCAAGCAGAAATTATGCAGGGCTGGTTGGGTTCATGATTTCAAGGAGAAATTATGCAGTCCTTGAGAAGAAGATGAAAGGAACAATAAGACTTTGTATTAATTGATTTCGCGGTGATTAATAACAACAATAAGACAAATGGCATAAAGGTTGGACATTTGGTGTATGAGCCAAGATTTGATTTTAAATAATCCAGTCAGCAAGTCCAAGATGCCAACTAGAAAGATTTCCAACACCCAGTCAGCCAAACATGGAATAAGGGGTTCTACAAACGGAATCTTCATTTTATAGGGGACGGATCGCACAAAAAAATCAAAACTCGTCCTATTGATAGGGGTATCGTATATTTAACCCTTAAATAAAAGAGCAAATTGCCTATTTAGCAATCAAAGTTTCTCTTAGAAATCCAATGTTTCCTTTAAAACTATTGTTACGAACAAAATTAACATTAAAAGAAATAAAATATTTATTAAGAGATTAAAGTGATTATTGGAGACAAAAGTGTGATGAAGAAAGAAGACTTAATTTGGTGGAGAAATTTAATTTTGTCGCACATTAAATCTGATGTTGTTAATTTTGGTTTTGTTGGGCTTATTCATTGTAGGAACATAGATGATCGTCAGACAACTTTTTGGAAGAATGTGTATTCGAAATTGTTTGCAATTGTTGTTGACAAAGCTATTAGTGTGGTGGATGCAGTCTTGTGGTTTGGAAATTCTTGGTCCTGAAAGTTTTAGAATATCGTGTCTAATCTAGACGGAGTCGATTACATTCATTGAGAGGAAATCAAAGAGATACTGTTGAAGGTGGTGTTGATGCAGAATACGAATGACGAGTTTGATTGCATGAGAGAAGACAACGACTCTTTCTCAGGAAATTCATGATTCAATACTTTCATTTCGTTGTCTAATGAAAGTTTGATTTTGGTAGATGTTTTGAACGCTTTATCTCATTTGTGGGAGGTTAAGGTGTCATCGAATATTTCGTTTTTTGAGTGGAGACTTATTCTCAATAGGATTTCTATTAAAGATCAATTGGTAAGAAAGGGTATTTTAATGGATGCTAAAGATACTTGATATGTGTTTTGTTTTAGGAAAGATAAATCTAAGATGCATGTCTTTGGTTTATGTGAAGCTACAAGAAGAATTTGGAAAAAGATTATGTCTTGGATATGAAACAACTTGGACTTGTCTCTTGGAGAGTTTGTAGACTATTTCTTATTCTGTCAAAAAGGTGAAAAATAAGTTTGATAGAAAAATTATTTGTGTGACTAGGATGGCCTCCATTTAGAGTATTTGGTTGATGCAAAATGTTATTTTTTTCAAAGGAGCCGTCTTCAATTTTGATGAATGCATGACGGAGATTATTTATAGGTCTTGAATAATTTGGATGGACATAGCTCGTAAATTCTATGTTTCGTATACTTTTTATGATAGGAACATTTTAACTCTTTGTTTTAGAAAGATTGAGTAACTTGGTTTGTTTATAATTGATTGAAATATCTCTTATACTCCATTTTATTAAATTGTTGTTTATTAAAAAAAAATATTTATCAAGAAAGTTATAAGTCTTATCTCCTGTGTGGATTAAATTTATCATTTTTCATAGGTTAAAAAAAAAAATTTTAAAAAAATTAGACTTGTGTAGATTCTCTTAGTGTTTTTAAAATCGCCATCAATAATCGGTGTGAGGATATGCAATTATTATTTAGAATAACAAAATTGAATAACTAAAAGATTTTTCTACTAGCAGAAAAGACTAAAAGATTTTGAACATCAAAAGAAACCATCCTTATTAGTAGTAGTGTTATAACTAAGAAAGAGATTGCTTTCGTGGCTGGCCACATGTTGGATAATTTGAAATATGCGAAATGATATTCAATTCAATTCATCGATTTTTTTAAGTTAGTGAGGTTGTGTACAGGGCAAAATTGCTTTCATGATTATGGAATGTGATAAAAATTCAAGTGAATGTCACTTGTAATTATAGGTTATGGTGTCATTAGTCTATTGATTTCCTAAATATTTGTTGATGTAACGTTGGGTGAGTACCTCTTATATTTTTTTTGCTTAATGAAATTTCATTCTCTATGAAAAAAACAAAACTTAATAGTTAACCCTAATTAACTAATTAGCTATATAGAGCATGATTTCATGCTAAGCAAAACCGATTAACGAAAAAGTAAGACTAATTTGATGTTTTCTCTAAAAATGGATGTAAGATCTGATTGAGTACATAGTTAGAGAAAGATTGAGAATGCAAGACATCCTCACATTCTTGATATTATTATTAGTCTATAAACAACAACATCATAGGTTATTCTCTCTAGTCTGTATACCTCCTCCATTTATTACCTTTGTCTTTTGCATCCTTTCCTTCTCCATCCACTCAATGCTGTTAGCTATCACCTTTTTCCACTAACTTATATCACCTTTCACATCTCTCTCTATCTCTCTATCCCTCTCACTATCACTCATTTTAATTTCCTCTCTTCCAATTAGGGTTTCTTCTCTTAGCTTAGACTACTTTCTCACTGGGAGAGAAAAAAAAAGGAGCTTCTGAAGGTTAAAAGGTACTTTCCTTTTAGTTTATTTGATCAAAGAAACCTATATCATAAACAGGTAAATTCATGTTCATGTGTGTTCCTTCTTTTTTTTTTTTCTCCTTTTCCTTATGCATGTATAGTTCTTTTTCTGTTTTTGTTTGTTTCAAATAAATTATTGTAGATGATAATTGACAACACTTTTTAGGGCTTTTCTATTTTTAAGTTTTTGTTGTAGTCAATGAACTATAATTAGCCAGATCCCTGACTCAAACAGATTAAATTTCAGAAGGTAATTATTATAGCTTGGAACTTTTTTGATCATGCAACTGAATATTACCAGCAGAGGGAATGCAAAGTGTTGTTAATTATATATGTAGGGTAGTGTATTTATATGTTTCCTAATTTGGAATTAATGAAGATGAAAACAACACCTTATAATTGAGGAAAAATTAAGAATTCTTTTATTGATTTTCTCTAGCTAATGAATCTAAAATGGTAAAGGGAAAGAGGAAAGAAGGAAACTATGTTTTTCAGAAACGTTTTTAAAAAAATTAAGAAAAATAGTATTATTAATTAAAGAAATACTAATGACCATAAGGGTTAACTCTTACTTTTTTACCTAAAACATCTTGTACAATTTTATAACTTTATGAAATGTAAATAAGAAACAAAAGATCAATATATTAGTACAAAATATTTCTCAAAGTTATGTCAGCCAGCATATTCTCTTTGCATGTATATATATGCAGGGTTTTAAATAACAATAGGTGTGGTCGCATAAAAGCTTTCTCGATTGTGATCGGTATAGGTGTTGCGATATTAATTGCGGTGTGAGTTAACCACGATTTTTTTTAATTATAAAACAGTTAGTAAAAGAATTGGTATAGACACGTTCTGATAGGTGTTTTTGCAGAAAAACCTATGTTAAAGATTTAGGATGAATATAGAAATATTATTCAAATTCTGCCTACGATGAAGTTTGAACTCTAAGCATCTCAGTTTACTATGTTAAAGATTAAGAATGAATATAGAAATATTATTCAAATTCAGCCTATGATGAAGTCTGAACTCTAAACATGTGAGATTATTATACCAGATATTTCTGCATAATCTTTATAACATATATAAAAATAGATTATTTATAACGCGCAGGGATTATAAGTTAAGAAAAATGGCATCATCATCCAGCTCATACAATTCACCTTGCGCGGCCTGCAAATTTTTGAGGAGAAAATGCATGCCAGGGTGCATTTTTGCACCTTACTTTCCACCAGAAGAGCCACAAAAATTTGCAAACGTGCACAAAATATTTGGTGCTAGCAATGTGACAAAGCTTCTCAACGAACTCCTCCCACACCAAAGAGAGGATGCAGTGAACTCACTAGCCTACGAAGCCGAAGCACGAGTGAGGGATCCAGTTTATGGCTGTGTTGGTGCTATCTCTTTTCTTCAAAGACAAGTTCAGAGGCTCCAAAAGGAGCTTGATGCTGCTAACACTGATCTTCTTCGTTATTCTCTCACTGATATCCCTCCACCTCCACCGTCATCTCTTTCTGTGCCACCAGGAATGGTGTCAGTTCAACAAATGCCACAAAGACAGTTTAGTGGAAGTACTTATTCTTCTTTTCCTTATTCTCTTCCTTGGACTGATACTTCATCAGAGGACATGAGTGAGGGTGGTGGAGGAGGAGGAAATCATTTGTGAATTAAGTTTAGTATATAACCCATCTAGGGTTTATACTTTTTGAGACATTGCCTGCAATATTCTTATGGCGTTTGATGATATTTTATATGCATCTATTCTGGACTTTGGCTATAAATATCTAGCCTTAATTATTGGACTCTTTTATCTAGGTGATTGAAGGTCTACTGTGTGATTAATAAACCTTATTTCTTGGCTTCTATTTTCTATATTAATATATTGTATTGTTTTTTTTTCAAATGCTAGTAATGTTAGGGAAGAGATAATTGTTAGCATTAGTAGCAGAGTGAACTTTAAACCTGCTTGGCCCCCTTTCAGGACGTGCAAAGATGATTATTGTATTTGAGATGGCTAAATCGTAGTTAGATAACAGCATATAAAATATTGTCATAGTTAAAGCGTAGTAAAATAAAATCTCTCTTTATTTTACTACAGGATAACATAATCATAATCTGTGACAACAGAAACTCTAGAAGCTCTGAGAAAACATAAGACATAAATAATATTCATATGTATCTCAATTCATATGAATGGACTACACAGAATATGTATTAGTATGATTTTAGAGGCATTTTTGTTTCTGAGACTAAATAAGGTGGTATGATATGAGGAGCATGCATAGTAGTTAATGTATGGCTACTAATAGAACTCATATTGTGTATTCATTCAGTGCAAAATCTATGCATGTGAAATGTGAAAAGCAGATTGGTGAGTTGACAAATTTGTCGGTCATGGTTTATGATTAAGAATGAAAAAACGATATATAACATTACTTTACTCCTTGTAAAGCCTGAACCTATGGTGTACTTTACACCTAACCTGCATATTCCTACCTCTTCTCCTTTTATGTGGACCACACCAATCACCATCCTTTTACTTTCATTTTATGTGTTTTTTCAATCCCTAATGACCCGTTTTTTCCATGACTTCAATAATGTCACTGACAGTGTCATAGTTACCAACAGAAAGACGAAGATATTAAGCTGCAGTTGAGTAATTATCATGTTTAGGTAGTTGTATGAACTTTTTCATGTAAAAAAAAAAAGTCAGTGTTAATTCCTTATCATAATCCAACATCAGTTAAAACCAAGGAGTGTGTTTTTTGAACTCATGGTACAGAGAAAAGGTGGGTAGTTGAATGTATGTGTTTAACATTATCTTGTGGTGACAATACTGAGGCTGATCTTCATCCCCACAGATTTTCTTTAATCATAAAATAAAATATCTTTGAAATAGTGAGCCACAGTTTCTATCCTTGTTGGATTCCTCAACTCAATCAACACATAAAATTAATAGTATTATTAGCCAGTTGTTCAACCTTAGGGTTTGCCATTCAAAACTGTTGTTATCTTCAATCACCAACACTCAATTTTTAGCCAATACAGTACAAATAGTATGACTATGACCCTCTCTCTTAAGACTGTAGCACTACACAGAACACAGCTTGCATGCATATACAAGAATTAATGATTGTGTGTGAAATACTATAAATTATTCTAGTATTATTTATGCAAACAGAACTAAAAAACCTTATTACTACTAGCATTTAACATCTTTTGATTGAATTGACTTTTGAGTTTTTGGTATTTGGGACAAACATGTTTGCAGTAAACTGTAAACAGATGAAATTCTAAACAAACCCTGGTAAAGTCAGAATCCCCCACAAGTTGCAGTATTATAAAAAATTTCTTGATCTGAGTAAGAAAAGAGATAGGGTTAGGGTTTTTTTGCATGATCAATTTGATCTAGGGGTATTAAATTAAACTATATTTATAGTTCAATTCAATTTTCAATAACCACTTTAATAACAATTCAGGTAATTATTAAAATGGTTAAATTCAATTCAAAACTAGTTTAAAATCACTTTATATTTATAAAAATTTGAAATCAATTTTATATTTTTAATTCTTGTAAAACCAATTTAATTTTATAAAAAAATTTATATGAAAAGAAATATTTTTGGGAAAAAAATTTATTTACTGAAAAACAAAATTCAGAAATTTTTTTTCGAAAACTTTATTTTTCAAGATATTTTTGTTTCAAAATTTTATTCCGAAAAAAAAAATTATTTTAAAATTATTATTTTTTATTTTCTGAAAACAATACTTTTTCATTTTCATGAAATATATTTTTCAGGAAATTATGTTTTCAGAAATCTTCTTTTCAGTTTTTTTTAAACATTTCTTGTTCAGTTCTTTTTTGGAACAAAAATTTTCAAAATAAATATTTAAGACAATTTTTTTAACATTTATTTTCGTAAATCTTTTCTTCAGAGCAAAAATTTTAAATTTTAAATTTTTTTCAGAAAATATATTTCAGGAATTTCTTTACCTAAATCTTTTATCAGTTTTTTTTTTGGAAAAAAATGTTCAAAAAATATTTTTTTTTTCAGAAAATATTTTCAGGATTTTTTTTTTCGTAAATCTTTTTTTCAGTTTTTTTGGGAAATAAATTTTCAAAAAAAAATTTTTTTTTCATAAAACATATTTCAGGAAACTTTTTTTTTAACAAAAAAAAAATCTGATTTTTATTTTCTTTTCAAAAAAAAATATTTTTTTGAGAGAAACATTTTTTTTATATTTAAAAAAATATATTTATTTGATTTTCAGAATATTTAATCTTTTTGATTAATTTATATTTTTTATTTTCAGAATTTTTTTAACTCTCAATTGATTTATTTAATTAAAAATTAATTTATATAATTAAATTAATTTATCAAAGAAAATTGGTTATTTAAATTATTTAAAATAAGTAGTTTATTTAATTAATCATTTAAGTTGTTTAAATTTTTATCTTACAATTCAATTAAAACTAAATATAAAATTAGTTAAATATATTTTTGAACACTCCTAATTTAATCAGTTCCCAGATAAATGTAATAGTGAGTTGAAGCCTTTCATCTTTCAAAAGAAGAGACAGCTCCCCACACTTCACTTTAGTATTCTGAAATTTGATTGATCTGAAAATCAGTCAATATCTTTATTTTTATTTGTCTTTTTTATTCAATCATAAATGTATTCATGTGTGTTTGTAATATTGATAGGCTATTCTGTTTGTCAGAGACTTTACTACTTCTCAAAGCACAAACCTGTACATGTGACAATCAGCGTTCACGGTAATAAAAAGACAGAACCTATCTCTTCCAGCAGTACACACAAAAGAATATGGGTATTGTTTTGATTGAGGATAAATTACACAGCAATCCCTTGTTGATAGAGTCGCGTCTATATGTACTCCTCCAATTCATCACCCTTATTTTATCAACACTATAAGATAAGATTAGGGTTATTGCCTTATCCGACATGTGTTAGTTCGGTATTAATATAACGTGAGTACAACGTGTTGAAAAATTCAAATAAATGTTCTAAAAATATCTTGAAAATTTTGTTTCTTTTATTGCAATAAGCACAATTATGAATAACGCGTACAAGGTTGCGAAACACATATAATAACGGTATCATGAACAACAACAAGATTCGAACTCATGTCATGAGCTACATACAACAACAGTTGTGTTAAACAACTATTATTGTATGTATTTTAATAAAATATAAAAAATGCAGCAGTAGAACAACAACAACAACAACAAGATTCGAACCCATTACCATGCGTTATTTTTCACTACAGTTGAAAGTTCCAACCGTGGTGAAAAGTGGACTTAAAAATGAAAATAAAAGGAAAGTGTCTAATTGAATAGATTCTACCACGGTGAATTCTTTGATCGTAGTGAAATAAAATTTGATGGCGTTACAAAAAATACTTTTTGTTTTAAAAAAAACGGTCGCAATCGCATTAAGGCATTTGTAATTTCAGTCTGTGTAGATGTTACGACACTAATTACAGTTGTTGCAGTGTGAATTAACCATAATTTATTCTTAAAACAGAAATAATAAATAACAATATCAGTATTGACACCTACCAATATCGTTTTGTCATTTCCGTTGACCTTTTTTTAAAACCTTGATTGCAACACAACTTAGACATTCACCACTTCAATTAAAAAAACTTAGACATTTCACACATACATCGTCAAGAATTAAAGATATATAAAAAATAATATGGTAAATATAAAGGTATGTAAGATCATCTTTAAAGACGTACAAAATAAACTACCGCATCTGATCCAAAATTTGCCATAGTTAAGTGAGGGCTAAATTGTATCTTATAATTTTTTTTACATATAAATATATTCTTTCTCTCTTTTAAGAAGATTTCATTTCATTTAAAAATAAGTTAGTTGGGATGCAAAGGTGATTTCTCCAAGAGGCTATAAAGGGGGTTAAGGTTGTTTGATTGAAGTGGGTGGATGTGGAAACCTAAGAGGGAAGGCGATTTAGGATTCAAGGATTTAAGGCTGGTTAACCTTGCTCTTAAATAATTGAAGGTGAAGGATGCTTGAGAATATGATGTCTTTCAAATTGTTTTACCTCTTCCTACACTATAGAGGATGGCATGAGAACCAAGTTATGGCATGATGTTTGGATGGGAACGAATTCAGTATATGTTTCTTTTGAAATGTTGTTTCTTATTTCATAACAAAAGGATTTGGTGGTAGAGTTAATGATGCACTGGGAGGAGAATGTTTGGCTTTGAGATTTTAGGTTGAGGCGCTTTTTCTTGATCTAGGATGAAGAACTCTTGGAAGAGTTTCTTAGGCTCATTGATAGGGTGGTTAAGCAAAGCCAGGAGGATGCATAACATTGGCTTCATGACCCCCTAAGAGGTTTTTCCTATGAGAATGGCTTATATTAGACATTCATCTAGTGGAAGGATTGGATAATAGGTCGGCTTGAGTGCTTAAGGGATTGACTAGAGTTTTGAATATTTGGACGCCTTCTAAAGTGTAGGTTTTTCTTGGCAGTTGTTCATAATAGGTTGTCAACTATAGGTAGAATCTTTTGAAGCGTCATATATTTTATACTGCTAGCGAGCGGGGTTGGGAGTGTGATGTGTGTACGAAAGGTTGAGTTTGTGGACAATATATTTGTTTTATTTGAGGTAGC